ACACACACACACACACACACACACACACACACACACACACACACACAAACCTTTTACCAATTGCAGAACACAAATATCTCATCGGCGAGGTCATTCCACTTGGAAGACTCGACTTTTCGGACTTGGATTCATAAACCAACATTCCTCACACGGGTAGCCTAGGGATTTTTAGTTTCCGGTAGCTTTTCAGGGAAGCTGAGTGGGGGGCTCAGGCCTAAAGAAGGGATAAGAAGCCCAGAGGAGGTGCCGCCCCCCACCCACTCCGGACCCTCCCCTCCCAGAGCGGACCAGCGCTAAAGCGCGTCTCCTCGTTGCCGTGGAGACCGCTGGGCGGCTGGAAACTGAGCACAAGGGAGGGGCGGGGCGGTGGGAGGCCAGGCGGGGGCTAAACTCGCCGGCAGGGATGTAGCTTGGGAGAGGGAGGAGAAAATCCAGCAAAGCCTATCGACCCGGCTCTGCAAGGCAAAAACAACCCGAACGAGCCAATAATTGTGCAAAGGCTTCGCTGAGATCTTCAACCCCACCCCCAAGCATCTTCCTTCCTTTCCTTTCCTCTTTCTCTCCACATCTGCCTGGTTCTTTCAAGAGCTAAATAAAATCCCACGTTGTGAGTTAAATAAAATTATACGTGTTCCTTTTTTTATACCTTGTATTAAAGTCGTTATTATTTTACAGGGTTTTTTGTTGTTGTTAAATCTTTTCTCTTTTAACAGTTGTATATTTCATTCTAATTGGTTTCCTTTGTAATCCGATGGATGCGATTCTATGCACTGAAACACTTTTGAATAGGGCCCCGTGGCACTCAGAAAGGGTTAAGGATTCCTGAGATAGAGGACTCTGGAGAGGGTAGAGGCCACTCCTATTGTTGGGGGGGGGGGCGTTGCAGAATGACCTCTCCAAAAAAGATGACATTTGGGCAGAGGGAGATTGCCAAGAGAAGGTGGGGCCATAACAATCTGGAGGTTGGGAACAGCAAGTGCAAAGGCCCTGAGGTGGAACTGAGCCTGGTGTCTGATGAGTAGCCAAGAGGTGGGGGTGGCTGGAGTGGAGTCGGTGAGAAGGAGAGAAAGAGAGAAGGAAGTGGAGGAGGTGTGTTAGGGCTTTGTGGCCCCCCGTGAGGACTTTGATTTTACTCTGAGTAAGATGGAGGATTTTTAAGAGTAGAGACAGATCTATGTTCCCTCCAGCTGCTGGGTTGGGGTCGACTGCAGGCAGTGAGGGAGAAACAGGGAGCTGTTTGCATGGATTCCCCCTTACCCGCAGGTCTGAGAATTCCTAACAACAGCGCCCCACCTCCACCCCGCGCACACAGCAGGGTGCCTGGTTCCAAGGAAACTCTCCCTGCAAGTTCACTGCTATTAGTACCAATGCCATTGTGGTGCATATTGTTGCTGAGCCAGCTGCCTCAGAGTTACTGGGAAGCTTTGCACATCCTGGGCCCCACATCCCAGAGACCCTGCCCCCCCCCCCCCCGTCCATGGCCGATTCTGAGGACCTTTGCTTTAATTTAACTTATTTAATTAACATTTTTGACCACTAAAAATCCAAGCAATCCAAAAAGATATAGAGGGGGAAAATACATGTCTCTGCCACCTCTGGGGCTCCCCAGTCCCCCTCCCCAGAGACAGCCACTGTCGGCAGTGCTCGTACCTGAGATCAGTACACCCGCACGTCTAGACCTTTTGCCCGCCCCCCCCACACACACATACACACCCAAGTTGGACTGTTTCAGATTCAAGTCCAGGTTCCATCACTTATGGCAGTGGGACCTTGAGCAAGCGACTTTACATCCTCAGCTACAAAATGGGAATGATGGGGGTGGGGCGCTTGGGTGGCTCAGTGGGTTAAGCGACTGACTGCCTTCAGCTCAGGTCATGATCTCAGGGTCCTGGGATCAGAGCCCCTGCATTGGGCTCTCTGCTCAGCGGGGAGTCCCTCTGTGCTCTTCCTCTCTTGCGCTTGCTCTATCTCAAGTAAATAAATAAAATCTTAAAAAAAATAAAATGGGAATGATCATCAATCCTATTACCTGCTTCATAATGTTACAGGGAGGATTTCGTGGAGTCGATCCACAGAAAGCTCTAGGAAATGCCCCCATAAAACCTGACTATCCTTTTTACTAGGTGCTTCTTTGTACATAGCTGCATAGTATTTCAGTGTGAGAATCGTACAGCGGAGCCAGTCCCTCCTGATGAACACCACTTGGGTTCATTCATTCACCCCCCAAGCATTTACTGAGCACCTACAGTGTGCCACGCCCCGCGCTAGAGGCTGGGGCAGTAAGATCCTGGTACCAATTTCTCCACCGACCTGTATGCTTAAACAGGTAGGAACGGCTGGTACCCAAAGTCATATGATGTTGAAGCCGAACAGTACAGTACCAGCGGCTTGCCAAAGGCCGGCCGCATTAGCACACCCACGGTTTCTCCAGGGTTTGGCGGGAACCCGCGCGTTTAGTTGGGCAGGTTGGGGAACTGCCGCGTTTCCCGGGGAAGGTGCTGACGTGGGCCGCGGCGGGGCGTTCTGCTTGGAAGCGGTGGCCCCAGGGAGGCCCGGACGGCGGCCACACCCCTGTGGGGGAGGGGAGGGAGGGCGCCCCGAAGGGAGTGGACAGCCCCCCTGTCAGTCTTCCCGAGTCGGGGAGTGTAAGATGAGAAGGGGGAAGGTGGGCCTCACCCTAGGGGAGAGCGAGGAGGAACTTCCTGCCCGCGCGCGCTCCTCCGCGCCGAGCGCACGGGCTGGGAGGCTGCAGGCGCGTCAAGGTCAGCCTGGACGGGGGTGGCCGCCTGCCTGGGGGCGGGAGACCCTGGGGGGCGGGCTGGGCTGCGGCCTCCAAGCGCCTCGGCCATATTGAATAGCCACGGTTGAGTCGTCTTTGTGTGCGCAGGCCTCTCCCAAGCTGCAGGCGCGTCCCTGAGGCAGGAAGAGCCACGGGGGCAGCCCGTGCGCCCCAACTTGGAGCCCGGACCCCACGTCTACAGCTGGCGGTGGGCTTAGAGCCTCAGAACTGACCTCACCCCGACTCACGTAAGCATCCTGGGAACTGATTCCCTCCAGTCCTTGGGGCGGGGGAGCCGGACTTGGTCAAGACTGGACTTTGTGGCGGGCAGAGAAGTTGGGAGGGGTTGGCTCATCCTTGGCTGGAGAGGTGAGACCCTCCGGGCGGTTCTGCGGGGACCCCTCCCACCCTCATCCCCTAAGACTCAGGCCTACGTGTAGTTTGGGGTCGTTGCCCCCACCCCCGATTTCACCCTGGAGATCTTAAAGACCCTCGAGAAAAGCCACGTGGGGGGCTGGTTCCCCTGGGGCTTCCTCCCATCCCCCGACTGCCTGATCCTCTGGAGCGTCCCTGATGTCTGCAAAGATGTGGATTTGGACGTCCTCGTGGAAGCCTTGAAGCCCGTGGGGACCTTCAAGAAGATTGGCAAGGTGTTCCGCAGGGAGGAGGACTCCACGGTGGGGATGCTGCAGATCGGGGAGGACGTGGACTATCTGCTCATCCCCCGGGAGGTCAGGCTGGCGGGAGGCGTGTGGAGGGTCATCTCCAAGCCCGCCACCAAGGAGGCGGAATTTCGCGAGCGGCTGACCCAGTTTCTGGAGGAAGAAGGCCGCACACTGGAGGACGTGGCCCGCATCATTGAGAAGAGCACCCCACACCCGCCCCAGCCCCCCAAAAAGCCCAAGGAGCCCCAGGTGAGGAGGAGAGTCCAGCAGATGGTGACCCCTCCCCCGCGGCTGGTCGTGGGCACCTATGACAGCAGCAACGCCAGCGACAGCGAGTTCAGTGACTTCGAGACCTCCAGAGACAAGAGTGACAAGAGTGACAAGGGTCACAAAGGCGCGGGGCGCAGCAGGAAGGTGCGCAAAATGCCAGTCAGTTACCTGGGCAGCAAATTTCTGGGGAGCGACCTGGAGAGCGAGGACGATGAAGAGCTGGTGGAGGCCTTCCTGCAGCGAGGGGAGAAGAAGCCCAGCGCGCCACCTGCCCGCCGCCGCGTGAACCTGCCCGTGCCCATGTTTGAGGACAACCCCAGGCCACAACTGTCCAAGGCGGACAGGTGGCGAGAGTATGTCAGCCAGGTGTCCTGGGGCAAGCTGAAGCGGAGGGTGAAGGGTTGGGCGCCCAGGTCCAGCCCCGAGGGGAGCGAGGCCCAGCAGGCCTTTCCCAGGCTAGAGAGAGTTGGGGCATCAGGGCCGGGCAGAGCCAGCCAGGGGCATAATGTGGGCAACACAGAAGATGGGCAGGGGCCGGAGACACCCCCAAGACGATGGAAGCCCAAAATCAAATGGGCCTCTTTTCGCCGTCGCAGGAGGGAGGAAGCAGCATCCACAGATCAGGGGACAGGGGCTGCAGGTGATCAGAGGGCAGAGGCTGCAGATAATCAGAGGGCAGAGGCTGCAGATGATCAGAGGGCAGAGGCTGCAGATGATCAGAGGGTAGAGGCTGTAGATAATCAGAGAGCTGAGGCTGCAGATGATCAGAGGGCTGAGGCTGCAGATGATCAGGGGGCTGAGGCTGCAGATAATCAGGGGGTAGAGGCTATAGATAATCAGAGGGCAGAGGCCATACCTGTCCAGGGGGCAGAGGCTGAGGATAATCCAGGGGCAGAAGCCATAGCTGTCCAGAGGGCAGAGGCTGCAAATAATCAGAGGGAAGGGGCTGCAGATAATCAAAGGGCAGAGGCCCCAGTTGTCCAGGAGGCAGAGGCTGCATCTGATGGGGCAGAAGCCATAGCTGACCAGAGGGCAGAAGCTGTGCAGAACCAAAGGGCAGAAGCCCCAGCTGCCCGGGGGGCCATAGGGACAACCCAAGGAGCTAAGGCCCGGAAACAGGTCAAGACAGTGAGGTTCCAGACCCCTGGACGTTTTTCGTGGTTTCGCAAGCACCGGAGAGCCTTCTGGCACACTCCCCGATTGCCAACCCTGCCCAAGAGAGTCCCCAGGGCAGGCGAGGCCAGGAGCCTTAGGGTGTTGAGGGCAGAGGCCAGAGCAGAAGCAGAGCAGGGAGAACGAGAAGACCAGCTGTGAGGTGAGGGCAGGGGCTCCCTGGAGCTCACTGCCACCTGCCATGCTGTCACCACCCAGGGCGTGGCCTCCCCCTCCCGAGCTGGGATGGAGATGCCCTTCCTGTGGCCATACTTGAAAATGGAGCTGGACAAGGGCCGGGCAGCGGGCCTCCCATCTCCACCCAACACCCCTCTGTCTTGTTAAAAGTTTATCTTTCATGCATTGATTTTTAAAAAAAAAACAGACTCTTTCTAGTCACCCAAGGAACGTAAAGAAAGAGCCGTACAAAGGGGTTGCATCACTCATGATTTTAACTTCTCCAGTGCAACTCTAGGTGCTCAGCTTGAAGGGGGGGGGAAGTGGTGGAGAAATTCTCTCCCCTCCCCTCTCCCTTTCTCTTCTTTTCTACTGCCCACTTAACATTGGCTGCCTCCTTGAACTTAAAAAAAAGGGCGCAAGCCAACATGCAAATAAAAATGTTTACCACAAGATTTCCTGCCTTTGGATTGGGTAAGTGACAAATGCTCCAGGGTTATGTCGTCACTCCCTTGTGTTGCCTCTGCTCCCACCCTCCAGGATGGTGCCCTGTGTTTATGTCACTTTGCGTGCCATCCCCGTACCCCTGGCTCCTGGCCCAGGGCCCGCACGTTACATACTTCCCCCAACCTTGGTTACATGGGACAGAAGAATCATCTGGGAACACAACCAAAATTCAGATTCTAGAGCCCTTCATGCCAGAGCTGTGAATTTGTTCCAGCTGCCTGTGTGGCCCAGGAATCTGTTTCGATCAAGCCCCCTAAAACCTCCTGGGGCAGATTGGCCACTGGGCGCATTGAAAACTCTTTGCAATAGAGACAGGCCAAAAAGCCCGATCTGGGTGTGATGTGTAGTGAGCTGTGACTGGCACTTATGATCGGGGACAGATAGGGTTGCTAAGGCCCCGTGGGCACTGGGGGACCTCTCTCTGTATTATCTTGTGTCCTCCAAACCCCAACCCCACCCACCAAAAACAGCATATGACCACACTCCAGCCTCGCTGAGGGCGGGAGGAAAGAGAAATCATGGAGGAAGGAGACCTGGAGGCCAGCTCTGTCTTGGCAGGGCTGCAGGCCTGGCCTGGGTTTTTTCTTAGTTTGTGCTTCTAGAACTAAAGAATCACCTGCTCTCACCTGCTCCTGTTCTGGAAGTAGTAGCTGCTGGTGCTCCTTTCATAGGATGCTAAGAGTCCCTTTGCACGTGGTACAGTTCACAGTCCCTAGCCCAGCAAGGAAAAGCCCCAAGGGAGTTTGGAAGAAAGACAGGGTGTAGACCCCACCTGCAGGGATGGACTGTGCTGGGGGCCAGAGAATAACTAGGCTGGATGGGGCCATCTCTGGAGTGCCCAGTGCATGCTCTGGATGCCAGGTTGGTGGTACCAATGGGGGCTGTCTCCATCTGGGAGAATTGCAGCCACATGCCCACGAGGGTTTGGAGTCCTGGAAGGGGAAAGAAGGTGGGAGTAGAGATGGTGAGAGACACCAGGAGGAGACTCCCAGATTTGGGGCCAATCCATCCCTCCCACAGATTCTCCGTTTGTCCCTCCCATCCCCAGCAATCCAGGCATGAGCATCCAGGGAGGCCCAGGAGGCAGAGACCCCTTGGGTTCTCTGAAATTGTATCAGGGCTTTCATGTTACTTTTAATCTAAGGGGATTTCATTTATCACCTGAAGGGCCCAGTCCCCAAATGCAGCCCATGGATGCTTCCAGGGTTATGGTTTCAAACATGCCAGGATTTCCATGGGGGGAAGCACCAGAAAATAGGAGGACACCCTAAATGTGGACACTCCTAAATATCCTCAAAGAGAAAAACAATGGAACACATCCATAGAGGTGCCACCTTGCGACACCAGGGACTTTCTGAGTCCCCCAGCTGGTGTGCCTTGGCAGGAGGAAACCACAAAGGGGCAGGGTAGGGAGGGATTTGGAGCCTGGCTCATCCCTAGCACCGCCCCTTACAAGCTTTGTTACGTTCCCGCTGGTTACCTCGTGCCTCTTTGTGCCTCTACTTACTCATCTTAAAGGGGGATCCCAAGATTTGCAGAGACAGTGGAAGAAGACGTAATGTGTTGGAGTTCAAATCAACCCCAACAGACCTCATCTCTCATCGTCCAATTCGTGTTCTACGTGAGAGACAGCCAGAACTTCACGAGACCTCTCAGCCCTGATGAGGGCCCCTGGGACAGGGGTTGCCAGTCCCGGCTGGTGTGTGGAATGACCCTGCCCAGGCTGCACGCTCAGAGATTCTCGTGCAGGTGGTGCAGGGTGTGGCTGGAGCTCCCAGAGCCCCGAGGCTTGCTGGGTGATTCCAACGCGCACCCGGGACCGACAACTGCTACCCCAGGGCTCCAGGAGATAATCAGACCCCACAGCAGACCCCCCCTCAAGCTGGTGGTGCAGCAGAATCCATCGGACGGTCTTCTAAAACACGGACTGCTGGATCCCAACCCCAAGGGATTCCCTAGGTGTGGGGTGGGCTCAAGAATATGCTTTTCTATCAAGCTCCAGGTGATGCTAATGCTGCTGATCCCAGGACCCCACACGAAGGACCGCTGTCCTCCAGCAACGTCCACTTTCCGCAGCCTGACATTCAGAGGTGGAGCTTTGGGCCTGGAAGGCCCTGGGCCAGGGCGTGCCGCCTCCTGCGCGCTCGGCGGGAGCCTTCGCGGGCGCGCCTTTAACGAGCGGTCCTGCAGCGCCCCCTGGTGGGCACCGCGGGGGCCGCAGTTGGTGCGGGCTTTCTCCCCTCTGGCGGGTGGTGGGTGGTGGGGAGCCGGCGGCGTCAGCTGGTCCTGGAGCCCTCGATCTTCCCTCTAGAAGTTCTGGGACCCGACGCCATTCGCAGGAGTCCCGGGACTCGACCGGGCCGAGCGGCCGGGACGGGACAGGGCGGGCCCGGGAGTGCGGGGCGAGCTTGCGTAGGGGATGGGGTTGGGGGGCACCGCGGCCACAGGCTCTGGAACGGTAAGCGGTTATGCGAGGGAGCCCCGCAGGAGGACAAACCCAAGTTCGAGCTCCCTTCCCCGCCTCCAGAGCCCCACTTTCCTCATCGGGGAAATGGGAGTGAAAACCTGCTTTCCTCCTATTCCCCCAGCCCTACTCTACGCACAGAATCAAAGAAAGACACATCCAACCCAACCCCAATCTCGTCACCCCACAGACGCCCACAGGGAGGTGGCACTGGAGGGGTCCGCGATCACCCGTGAATGACCCCTCGGATCACGGGCCTGAGCCGTTCCGCGGCCTGAACGCGCCTCCCTCGGGCACCCGCCTGCCCCAGCCCTCCCCCCTTCGGCTCTTCGCTCAAAGGTCACCTTCTCCGTGACGGCGTCCCCGCGCCACCCGAAATGGGCGACGCTGGCAAACCCTGCCCCGCCGACGGCTCGCCCTGCCGCCTCCCCGGGTCGCGCCATAGCGCGCGCGGCTCCAGAAGCGTCTTCTCAGTGTCCCGGCCCCACGGCGCCCCGCGAGGGTCCGCGTTTGTGGGTGTCGCTCCGGCCGCCGCGCCAGCGCCGAGCGAGCCCCGAGCCTGGCTCCGTGTCCCCGCGGCCCGCACCGTCCGTCCCGCCTCCGCCCGGGCGCCGCCGGGCCCGCGGGCGCTCGGCTCGGTGTCCTCGGGGCTGCGCGCCACCGTGCGCGGGCAGCGTGCTGGCGCCGGGGACGCGGCGGGGGACAGGGCGACCCCAGCCCGGGTCCCGGGGGCGGCGCCTGAGCGCTCCCGCGGCCCCTCGCCCCACGGTCGCCCACCCCCGGCTCCGGGCCTGACGCTCGGCCTCAGCCACCGTCCCGACTCGTCTGCCCGCCGCGCGGCGGCCGTCGGAAAGCCGGGGCCGGGGGACGCTCTCCGGAAGCTGCCGGGCCTGCGGTGTTGGCGGCGGGGGCGTAGCCCTGGGTCCCCGGTCGGGGAACGCGGCTGCTTGGTGCATCCTCTTCAGCGCAGCGACCCGGGCTCTGGGTCGCAGCGGCGCTTCCCGGGGCCGGAGCAGCTTGCTGCACTCCTCATCTTGGGGCGACCTGACCTTCCCTTCTGCACTTTGACCTGCAGTACCCGTGTCCTCAGCGGGGCGTCTGGAAACAAATTAGTGTGGCAGGCGACAATCCATCAGAGCTTGGACAAGTGGGCGTGTGGGGGAAGCGTTACATTTAGATAGGGTGGTCAGGGAAGTCCTCCCTGGGAATGGGACAGTTGCACAAAGACTGGGATGAAGTGGAGGGTGGAGCTATGCAAATATCCTGGGGAAAGGCACTCCAGGCCAGGGAGGACCGCAAGCGCAAAGGCCCTGAGGCAGGAATGGGCTCCAAGTGCTCCCTGAACAGCAAGGAGATCTGAGTGTCTGAAGGCGCGGGAGAGTGGTGGGCAGTGAGGCAGAGAAAATGCGGACAGAGGAACCACTCCGGTGCTGTCCCAGAGACCTTTCTGTGATGGTGGAAATGTCCTATACTTGCGCCAGAATGGTAGCCAGAGTCTGGTCCATGTGACTCTGGAGCATGTATAAGGCGGCTGGTATGGCTGAGGAAAAGGATATTCCATCTTATTTAATTTTATTTAAATTTAATGTCCCTTGTGACCAGAGATTACTCTATTGGACAGAGCAGGTCTAGACCACTATAGTAACTTCAGTTTAACCTGTGGGGCAAAGGAAGACTTTGAAGGGTTTGGGGAAGAGAGTGAGGGAATCAAACAGCCAACTGAGTTCCAAAAGGGCCCCTCTAGCAATGCTGTGGCCATGTATGGGGGAGAAGCAGGGAGGGAAGCAGGATCCCAGTAGGAGCAGGGATAGGACCCCCTTAGTCTGGGTCTATGGCAAATCTTAGGCCCAGGGGCCAGGGGCCAGGACTCATGGTGAAGTGTGGGAGTGGGGTGCTGACTACAGAGGGCTACAGGCCAGAGAGTGAGGTGAAGGGTCCACGTGGGCACCAGGTGAGGTTGGGTAGAGACTAACCTGGGGGCTAGGGAACAGAGCAGACACAGGGACCAGATGAGGTGCAGGGGGATTAGGGTAGGAACCAGATTTAGGGGTGATGGCTGGGCCCCAGAAAGTGCAGCCGGATGGGCCAAGAAAGGGCATTCTAAGGATTATGGAGTGCTGGGGCCTCGCAAGATACAATAAAGCAACAGACGGCTCAGACTAGAGTGGGAGGAGGAAGCCAGAGGTGGGAGCAGGGAGAAGCTAAAGCAAGGCAGAATTTGTACGGCTGCAGACAAGTCAGGGGGCTGCGCCAGGGGGACAGCGACTGAACACGCAAGGGACACTGGGTATAAATCAATGACAGGACAGTCCCGGGTGTTCCGGTTGGATTTCAGTTACGGGAGGTGGGGCATCCCCGGCCCCATGGTCCAGAGCACAGAGACCCAGGCCAGGAT